TTCCGGAAGTGGAGCCCCCCCCGTAGGGGGGCGGAACATACTGGATCCACGCATATACTTTACAACGCGAAGCGAGATCCAACCCCACAATTGTTGTGTGGATGGAAAAGTGTATGCGTGGACGCAGTGGGTTCCGCCCCTTCTACGGGGGGACTCCACTTCCGGAAGGTATAACCTAACCCAAACCTATTTCTGATTTAAAACTAAAATTTGGGTTTGGGTTAGATTATATCTTCCGGAAGTGGAACCCCCCCGTAGGGGAGGGGCGGAACTCACTTCGTCCACGCATATATTTTACAATGCGAAACGAAGTGAGATCGGCGCTAATATCAAGGTTTACCACGTTCAGATTAAATGTATATGGCGTCAGAAAATTACATTCTAATATAATGTCTAAATGCACAGAATATGTCTTATCAAAAGTGTCAAAAAATCAAAATATTCCTAAATGCGAATAGCGCTTCACGCGACCACTTGATAATTTTCTTCAAGGACAACATATTGTTTGCCCGGTTTAAAAATATCATAACTGTTAATTGTAGACCTAAAGAAAGCTCTATGTAAATTTTGAGGCAAATCGTAGGTGGCGACGCTAATATAGAAATTTACCGGCAAAACATAAACAATTGAAAAAAGTTACGCTAAAGCTACTACTTCACGTAAATCTTTCCTACACGCTTGCTCTCAAACATCAATTAGGACTTTATTATCGATTTGTTTGCGTTGATGGATTTTCAAATCGTTTTCAACATGATACTAAAATATCCAAATTTCCTGAAGTGTTTGATTATCTTGATATAAAAAATGTTTTACATCCAGAAATAATAAACGATAATTTTATAGACTGTGTATCTTGGATTATAATAAACGAAACACGTTATGAGATTAACAATATTATATGTATTGCGACGACTTTTACTTCCGTCTCGCGACCGAACGATAGACGCGTCCGCCATTTCAATCTCTCCGTCGCGCGGATGGACGTTGCGCCGACGAACAGGAGCGAATTCACCGAACGGGAGATGCGGGATAGTCGTTGACAAAAACCGAGAACAGAGAAAAAGGACAACGCGCCGAGTAAGAACGGGATGGTAAAGGTTCCGCGCGTACCGTGACGAAATCCAAAAGATAATTGCGAGAATCGAACTTGGGCGCCAGATACGGTCTTTCACGCATCAATCCGCGAAACGCACGAAATAAGGGCGAGATAGATGTGAAAGAAATTGTTAGAAGTCGCCACGGGCTGGCTAGCTCGCCTAACGGTAGAGGGGCAGGCGGGCAGGGCAAGTGTCGGATTAACGCGACGATTAATTATGCAAGAGGCGACAACTAGTGGAGCGACAAACACAAGCAGAAATTAAAGGCTCGAGATAACGAACAAAGATAACAACGAGTTTATTATAATAGATGGAGTGAGGCCCCGTGAAAGTCAA